GGTTTTCAGCGTCCGTCGAGCCCTGTGAAAATATTGTCTGCTCATTTAAAGAAACGCCCTCCTCCAGATCAATTTTCATCTTCATCAGCATTTTTTCTACAAAATTTTTGACTAAAAGCATTATATATTATGGTGATTTACGCTTGAAATCCTGAAAAAAAAAAGAAGCGCCAACCCTAAAATTATTGTTTGTCCTGGGTCGGAATACAAGACAAATGATTTGGACTGGGTCGGGTTGCAAGACAAATGAATATCCCGTAGAAAATCTAAAGTGTCTATATAGGCATACAATGTGCAACAATTTTATTGGACCTAGCTCTACATCCGGAATACACACATAATAATATATTTCTCATCATATTCACCTTTGCTTTTTGCTTTTTTTTTCTTTTTTAAATATATATCTGTTGATTTCACATCTCTTCGAATTCTGCTACTCTCCATTTTTTTTTCTTCATCTTCATTGCCTTCATCCTCTCCTCAATTGGAAGTCCTCATCTTCGACATCAAACTTAAAAGCTATCACAAGTTTCCCTTGGCCAAATCCTCATCCTTCTCCTCCTCGGCCCATCCAAAAGAAGCTTCTCCACTGCCAGTTTCTCCTTAGGAATCTGCTATCGCAGCGTAGCTTCCCCTCCTCCAGCAAAATCAGATCTTACTCTAGCTTCATCAGCACATTCGCCTTCGGATGCCAGGCGACGCATCCTGGCCACGCCTTATGCAAAGAAGCTCGCCATGGATCTCAAGGTGGAACTTCAATCAATTTTCGGAACAAGTCCAATGGGTCGTATCGTTGCTAAGGATTGATGTTGAGGTAGTGGTTGACAGAGTAACTTTCGTGGCAACCACTACATCGATCACCTATGATGCCAAAGCTGTTGATGATTCCACTTCGAAGGTACTTGTTCACGATGATGCAGGGAGCAGCCAGCAGGAACATGGTGGGAAGTCTTGCTACGTTTATATTCCGTGTTGGTTACACTATCACTACCAATGCACTCAATGAGCTCTACAAGAAAGTAAGATCTTTTGCATTTGTTCTTGTGTGTGTTTCTAGCTTCTTCTTGGCGCTTTTAAGCATTTGAAAGTGATTCATATCAAGTCAAAGGGGATACCATGACTACATTATTAACAAAGGCAACGTCTATGGTCCTATAGAAACACTCAATGATAAAAGCTTCACATACAACGACATCATTAACATTGTTGTTGATTTTTCCATTGATGGAAGCCTTATCACTCCTATTCCGCAAGAATGCAAGGTTAATATTTATCATGATCTTGCACATTTTATCTCTCAATTGTTATATTCAAAATGATGAAAGAAATTATCATTTTTTAGGTGGACATTTACTCATTTTCAAGGAGATGGAAAGAGTTAGTGGATAAGGCTCAGGCCAAGCAGCTCCAACCACAAGAGTGAAACTCCGGAGCCAACCAATTCACCATCATCATGGCATAAATTTAATGATTCAAATATACACGCATATATTGCAGTGGTCATGATTTACACTTAAACATATGAATAATGTAATCAAAGGGAAGAAGGTCCCAATTTTGCTCAATCAGATCACACGTGGTTCAGTCAACATTCGGCTGGTCTGAGGAGGAGAAAACTGGAGAAAAAGAGAGAAGGCACTGCACTCAAATATGCCCGAGAGAAGGAAGGAGGTGGCGTCATCTGTGTGACACAGATATGTATGGTTTATAGCTTCCGAAAGGATGGAGAGCCTATCCACCAATAAGGTGTATAGTGGTACACCTACACCTAAATCAATAAAAGATGTAGTATCATACACACGACACTAACATCTACGACCTAACTAGTGCAACCTGGACTTATTCCTTGCCTGAAAAAGGAGGCCAACTAAAACCACCTAATCGTATAAAATCCATGCTGTCCAGTCCGTATGAAGAAGGGTGGGTAGTTACACACTGAAATTTGGGATCGACAACTAGAGAAATTCCTAAGTGATCCCACACTTATGAGTGGTACAATGTTCCTAAAACTAATGTAATTAAATTTTGATTTTTAATTAGCTACTAATGCAATTTATGCTGGTCAAAGTCTCCAAATCAGAAATGCATGAAATTTTAAAAAGGCTTATAAAATAATTTTTAAGAAGGACTAAACTTCCCCAGGTCCGGCACTTCATCCTCATAGGCCAGATTATCCGAACTCCACCCGCAGGCGGGGAAGTTTGTCTAAAAGAAGAGAGAATGCGTGTATGCTCCCCCGGACGATTCTGGTGGAATTGAACTGAGCTGAACCAAGCCAAATTCAGCTAAGATTGGGTTAGACTCGAGTTTGAATTTGGCTCGATTCGAACCAATTCGGGCTCGAGCCGGCTCAACGAAATTAATCGTATGAAGATGGGTTCAAAATAATAATCAATTTAAATCAAATCAAGTACGACGCGATGAAATTAAACTAATCGAGTCTAATTGAACACATTCGAGTCTGATCCGGCTCGAGTCGGGTCGATTCAAGCTCGAATTGGGCTCGACAGGGTTTAATTAAATCGATCGAAAGTGCTCGAGCATAATCGAGCCAAAATCGAGGTCAACAAACGGGAGAAATCGAAGGTAAGAAAATCATCTATCTGCCTGACCACCTCGCAACAGCAGAATAGAGAAAAGGAAGGGGGTCCCACATTCACCTGACCATATTCGCAACAGCGAATGGGGATAACTCCGGGTTTGCTTGACCATGTTCGAAACAGCAAAACAAGGAGTAAGAAAAGAGAGGGAGTTCTACATTCGCCTGATCATATTCGCAACAGCGAATGAGAACAGCTCAATATCCACCTGACCATATTCACAACAGCGAATAAAGAGCTTCCCAAAAGGTCTAATGCCCACCTAACCAAAAACGCAACAGTGGGACAAAAGAGGAAAAGTCTAACATTCACCTGACCAGATCGCAACAGTGAATGAGGACTACTCGATGTTCGCCTGACCAGATCGCAACAGCGAGACAAAGGGTAAAAGAAAAGGGGCTTCAATATTCGCCTGACCAGATCGCAACAGCGAATGAGAACAGCTCAATATTCATCTGACCACATTTACAACAATGAATAAAGAGCTTCCCAAGAGGTCTAATGCCTGCCTGACCAGATTGCAACAGTAGAACAAAAGACAAAATCCAACATTCACCTGACCAGATCGTAACAGTGAATGAGGATGACTCAATGTCTGTCTGACCTTATTCGAAACGGAAAAACAAAGAATCGGAAGAAAACTCAACAACCCCCAAAAAATAAAACAGGGGGAATGAAGAGGTGGTGAAGTATGCATCTCAAGGACTCTGTCGGGCACCCAACCAGAAAGGGGAGTCAACATTCACCTGACTAGATCGCAACAGCGATTGAAGATTGCTCAAAATCCACCTGACCATATTCGCAATAGTGAATAATGAGCCCTCCCAAAAGTCTAATGTCCACCTGACCAAAATCGCAACGGTGGGACAAAAGAAACAAGTCCAACATTCACCTGAACAAATCGTAACAGTGAATGAGGACAACCCGATGTCTGCCTGACCATATTCTAAATGGCGAAACAAAGGGGAAAAGAGAAAGGGAGTTCAGCATTCGCCTGACCATATTCACAACGACGAATGAGAACAGCTCAATATTCATCTAACCATATTCGCAACAACGAATAAAGAGCTTCCCAAAAGGTCTAGTGCCTGCCTGACCAGATCGCAACAGCATGGCAAAAGATAAAAGTCACCTCTACAACCACCCAACGCACATGTGCGTGGTGTTGTGAGGGAAAGAGAAGTAGTCAGTCATCTAAGAAAGTCCAAACTTATATTTTAGTTATCACATGGTAAAGGACAAATCGTCGTGGCCATGAGTAATTTAAATACAAGTAGAATTTCTTAGGCAAAGTTGAAATCATAAAACATGAGGCAATCAACTAATGTATATCTCTCTAAGAAGATGAACATACAAATGAAAGAATAATCTCATATCAACGGAATAGCAATAGGAGTGGCAAGGGGACACACTTGCCACTAAGAACGACAATCATCATCTCAAAAATTAGTGATTACTAAAGAGATCACAGTGGTAACACCCATGCTAACTGATGGGACCCTGTGAAAAGTACAAGTAACATTTATGTATTCAAAGAGACCGATTTTACAGCTAAAAGCAATGTCCCAATGAGAGATTATATCATTTGAAAGAAGTAGCGGATCGACTTTCTGCTAGAAGATCAAAATCCACTAAGAAGTGATGTTAACATCTAGAGCCAGATGTACCACATCACAAGGGAGAACAACATCCCATTAAAAGTGAACAACCATAATCAAAGAAATAAACACACAGTCATCTCCTAAGCAATCATTGAAATGCTTTAAGGAGATACAGAAGGGAATTTGGAGGGACTTTGGGCTCTTGGAGCGTAGAACCGGGTTCCACCTATGACAAGGGCAACCGATTCTTTCTCAACTAAGAGCTTCCCTCTCTCTCTCTCTCTTTTTTTTAAGAGAGGGGAAAATTATTTGCTTTGATAACCCAGGCCATTTTCGCCACATGAATAAAACTGGGGAGAGAAAAATTACAACAACAATTTGTAGAGAAATTCACAAAGTGACAATGGATCAACATCACTATATTTGACAAATATAGATCAAGGATTGACCCAGTATCACATTCCTTAGAAATTCGAGTTAGTAGTTTTGATATTCCATACCACACTTGAAGGTGACAAATGAAACTGGGGCAAGCCAACCCTTACAGGGGTTGGAAGGGTGATTTTATGCAACAACACCAAAGTGACTAGTGAATGTGAACGTAAGCACAAAGATCCTTACGGCGTATTTACATACAACCTTTAAAGACAATCTCAAACCTTGAATGACGAACATCACGTGGTAGAGGACAAATCGTCGTGGGCACGGACTGCCGAAAAGTACAAGAAATCCTTCAAAGTTATATCTATATAGAGGGATATTTACAAGTGGCATGGGATGCCCCTTGCGATGTGAAAACTCAAGCGTAGTACTTTCTCAAGTACTGCCCATTAATGACGGGCATGGGATGAACGCCATTCGCATCAACTAGCAAGTAAGATCCATCTTCATACACTTGCTCTACAATGAATGGGTCTTCCCAAACGGGCTCAAACTTACCACCTCGGCGATGCTGCGAGATGATAGGCCTACGTAAGACAAGGACTAATTCCCCGACTTGAAAAGCACGGGGTCGAACAAGGCGATCATGTGCCTGGGCCATATGGGCCTGGTATAACTTAAGGTTCTGATAAGCTTGCAAACGAAGCTCTTCTAAACCATCAAGCTCTTCCAACCGGAGTCGGGCATTATCTTCATGCGAAAGATTGTGGCTAACTGCTACGCGCAACGAAGGGAGCTCGACCTCTAGTGGGAGGACAGCTTCAACCCCAAAAGTTAAAGCATATGGTGTACACTGAGTAGGAGTACGGTATGTAGTCCTATAGGCCCATAATGCTTCAGGTAATTTATAGTGCTATTCTCTTTTATTTGCCACAAGAATATTTCTTATCAATTGGACTAAGGTCTTATTGAATGTTTCAGCCAAACCATTAGCCCTAGGATAGTAAATCGAGGAATAGAGCCAATTTATGTTATGGAGGCGGGCAAATCTAGCAATCTTGGTGCTTCTAAAAGACGGGCCGTTATCCGAAATTATACGGTGTGGAACACCAAAATGGTAGACAACATGATTACGAAAGAAGCGCATCACATCTTCTGATTTGACTTCCTTAAGCGGGATAGCTTCTGCCCACTTAGAGAAGTAATCAGTAGCAGCCAGAATAAACCTATGACCCTTAGAGGAAGGAGGGTCAATAGGACCCACTACATCCGTGCCCCAACTTACAAAAGGACAAGAAGACACAGTGGGGTGCAGCGAATTAGGAGGTTGGTGGATAACAGTATTATGAATCTGGCATTGGTGGCACTTCCTAGTGTGCTCCATACAATCACGGATCATCGTCGGCCAGTAATAATTAAGGCGTTTAATTATGACCTTCATCTTAGGTCCGGACTGATAAGCACCACAAAGTCCCTCGTGTACTTCGCCCATGACCTTACGAGCCTCCTCGTTGTTGAGGCAACGCAACCACATCTGGTCAAAAGAGCATCGGTACAGGGTTTCATTCACATAGGAGAAGGACAAAGCTCTCTTTCTAATCTGAGTGGCAAGAGAGCGGTCATCCGGAAGCTTTCCATGCTTCAAGTACTCAATAAAGGGGACTCTCCAATCTGACTCTTCCACAACAGCGAACACTGCGAGGGTCTGATCAGAAGAAGACAAGTCCGCGGGGCACAAGGCTTGTCGATACTGGACCACAATCGACACCGGGTTTCCAGTAGGGTCAGCCAACTCCTTAGCAAGTTTAGCTAGTGCATCCGCTCTACCATTCTCAGATCAAGGGACTCTAACTAAAGTTACTTCAGGGATCAAACACAAGAGCTCCATCACCCTATCGGGGTAAGGCAAGAGCTCAGGTTTGAGAACTTTGAAAATAACAGCCACTTGATTAATGATTAGTTGGGAATCTCCAAAGATTTTCACCCGCACAATGCTCATCTGAATGGCCAACTCAAGTCCTACAATTAGGGCTTCGTACTCAGCTTCATTATTAGTACGAGATTCTGAAAGACAGTAGGAGTAACGCAGGGTGTGGCCTTCAGGAGACACAAAAATAAGTCCTAAACCTTCCCTAATAATAGGAGTTTTGTAAGGACGTAGTTATTTGATGGAAGAAGATCCATCAAAGTAAAACTCCCAAGTATGGGACTCCTGTTCTTCCACACTCATGACTAATTCATCGGGCAAATCGTCATTAAGTGGGGAATCTGCAGGGATCGGGTGAGAGGCAAGAAAGTCAGCTAGAGCCTGTCCTTTGACGGCCCGCTAAGGGATATAGGTAATATCAAACTGCAATAAAATCATGGACCAACATGATAGACGACCTGACAAAGTCGGACGGGTCAACAGGTGCTACAAAGGGTTGACTCGAGAAATTAGACTGATCTTGTGTGAAAGCATATTGTGTCTAAGCTTCTGAACAGCAAAAATCAAAGCCAAACACTGCTTTTCCATTGCCGGGTATTTTAGCTCTGCAGGAATCAAACGTCTGCTAAGGTAGTACAAGGTATTATCTTTTCCTTCCACATTTTCTTGAGCTAAAATTGCACCAAGTGACTCATCCAAAGCCGTAGTGTAGAGGATCAACGATCTGCCAGGGATGGGTGCAGCTAACACTGGGGGATTCGTCAGGTAGCGCTTTATGCTCTCAAAGGCCTCATGACAACTCTTATCCCAATGAAAGCGAGCATCCTTCATCGATAAAGCAGTAAAGGGATGACATCTACCGGCGAGATTGGAGATAAATCTCCGCAAGAAAGCAAGCTTCCCCTGAAACGACCTCAACTGGGTAAGACTCTTAGGGGGTTTCAAGTTCACTATGGCCTTGATCATGGAGGGATCAATCTCAATGCCACGATAGCGAACAATAAAACCAAAAAACTTCCCCGTAGTGACACCAAATACACACTTTAATGGATTCATCTTCAAATCATGCTTTCTTAAGCGCTCAAAAACGATTCGTAGGTCGCGAAGGTGATCACTACGGACCTTGCTTTTGACCACTAAATTATCCACATAGCTTTCAACTTGCTCATGAATCAGCTCATCGAAAATGACTGTCATGGCACGCTGATAGGTGGCCCCGACATTCTTGAGGCTGAAGGGCATCACCTTATAACAAAACACACCTATGGGGGTGCGAAAGGCAGTGAATTTCTCATCTTCAAGGGCCATCTTAATCTTATTGTAACCAGATGAACCATCCATGAAGGAGAAAATACTATGGGACGAAGCAATATCAACCATAAGTTCAGGGATAGGAAGAGGGAAATCATCCTTAGGACATGCTTTATTCAAATCACGGAAGTCTATACAGACACGGATCTGACCACTCTTCTTCCGGACTGGAACAACATTGGCAAGCCAAGTGGGATACTTCTCTTCACGAATGAAACCAGCTTTTATAAGTTTCTTAGTCTCGGCTATCACCTATTTTTCAATCTCTAACCTCATCCGACGAGGTGACAGCTTGACAGGGGCTGCATCCGGACAAATAGCTAACTTATGGACTGCTAGTTCTAGATATAAACCGGGCATCTCTATTGTGAGAGCTCTTTCCTTTGATTTGCCTTCCAAGATCTGATTTTCCTCCCAGGATCGTCCGGGATGATATTGAGATCATCCAGGACGATCAGTGCAGTGAAACAGCTGATTTTCCAGAAGTGGATCGTCTAGGCCGATTTTGGATCGTCTTGGGACGATCAGAGCATGGC